ATGCTTTACACGCAGTAATTATTTAGTAAATATGACCATTAGTTGTTCAGAGACTTGAGGTGCAAAACTATCCAAAAGCTTTGAACAAGTGTGTATGTGTGTGTCTCTGCATGTATACACACATTTACAGACATGCATACACTAAATATTTCTAATTGGACCATTAAGATTTAGCATTTCTCCTTCAAACTGACCTCTATTTTTAATTAAGAATGTAATAAATATAAATGTAATTTTTCTACAAGTGCAGCTACATGTAGAAGATGATTCCATTTCTTGATCTGAACATTGAAAACAAAACAGCCTTTTAAAAACAACATATAGGTTCATTTATGTATTTTGGAGAAAAAGTACTCACACAGTACATGTATGCAGGACTAATTTTTCAGTACGAATATAACTCAGCAGGTCAAGAACAGGATAAATGGTATCCGAAGTCCAGTCTGAACTGCTGATGCATTCTGGCAAAATAAATAAAAGATTACCCTAAATAATAGTACCAAAACTTGTTCGTGTAACTACCGATCAGTCTCATCTATCTCTATATTCTCTAGAGTGCATGTTATTTACCTACTCACCCCCCTAAAGGTCCCACAACCATAAAACCAGAAGGGATACCATGTATCACATCAGCAATCTCTATCCTTTTTTAGTTTAGTAGGGCTTGTGTTTGCTTGACTTTAAGGCTCATTATCACATGAATGAAAGGATCAAAGAAATGAATAGATTTTAAACTATATTACCAACAAGAAACTCACCTTTAATAAAGCCAATACCAATAGGAAGGGCTTTTTCAGGTTCTTGACTTAATAAGTAATACTTTACAGCTTCAAATATATTGCCATCTGCATGGGCTGTCTCAGCTGACTGCATACATTCTTCTACTGTGGGTAGCTTGCACTAGGAAGTAATTTGTTTGATAACAATGTTGCTAAAATTTATAGGGATAAAAGCAACGGGGTAAGTAGTACATATTTCAAACATATCTAATACTCTTTCTTACTAAAGTTGCCCAACAGAGATGCATATGAAACCATTCATTTTAAGAGCACACATTTATAGAAATACCTTTAAGATCTAATAACAACAAATGGTGTCATTTCCTAATAAGTCATTAGTTTCTCAGCACACAAATACCCCATGAAAGAGGTGAAAGTAAATTGTCCTGACTGGAATATTGGAATTAGTACCCGCAAATGCAATTTAGGAAAAAAAAAAAAAAATCTGAGATTAGCTATTTTAGAACAAATATCCTGATCACTGTCAAAAACTCCATTAAGTCTAGCAAACATTAGAGGTGCACGCTTACACGCCCTCTACCCTGCCATTTAATTTCACTTGGCCTTTGAGATAAATTAACTTTATTTCAACCAAACCAAAAACCAAACATACTGCCATTGAGTCGATTCTAACTCATAGCAGCCCCATAGGGTTTCCAAGCGTAAATCTCTACAGAAGCAGACTGCCACATCTTTCTCCCACAGAGCGCTGGTGGTTTGAACTGCCGACCCTTCGGTTAGCAGTCAATCACTTTAACCACTGAGCCACCAGGGCTCCTGTTATTTATTTCAACCAGAGGCAAAAAATGTAGAAGCTAAGTTTTTAGCATTGACATTCTGAAATGCCACAGACTTTAGATTTCAGTCCATGAAGTCTCATTCACTATGAAATGAAAAGCAATACCCCCATTTTTCCCAATATTTTTTCTCTGTTAAAACTGAGAGCCTGCTCCTCCCTCAGTTAAATTGTTGTGCTTCCAGAATACCATAGGTAGGAATTAAGTTACCTTTTATATCAAATTCCAACG